CATTTGAAGAGGTCTTGGTTACAGTGAGCAAGGCGTTCTTTTTCGGGAAGCACATCGACAGTAGCTGTCACTTCTCGATGTTTCTGTTCCAGCCACGACGTAACATTCATCCTAGCGAGTTCATCGACGATTTCGGCATCCCTGGGTCGGGTGTGAGGGAAGGGAGTTGACGCTCCTACTTCGACGGAGGGACCTTCCATACGAAGCAGGTCAGAAGAACTACACTCTATCCCTACATATATCCCCGAGAGAGGAACAAGCTCTCTTTGGAGGGGGCACCCCTTTGGCTTCGATGGTCAGACCCGGAAACCTTGTTACCGTTTCCAAGCGGGATAGTCCGATTCGGTCTCATTCTGGATAAGGTGTGAGTGATAATCCACTTTTCTTCTCTCCGGATATAGATTATGACGCCTTCGAAAGATCCGAGAGTCACTTGTGGTACGAAGTCATTCTACGGATATCGCGCAGGAGCCTGGCATGTTGCAGAGCCCTCGATGTTGTTTGAGCTGCACGTAGCATTAGAGCCGTCCTGCCGTTCCCGTGCCTCGAGTTTCCCCATAATTTCGTCACCTCTCGCGGGTTCCATGAATCCCTAAAGCCCTTCAGAGCTTGAGCAATAGGAATTGAGCAAAATAAGAGAAGTGTAATGGGGTCGAATGGCGCGTGGGAAGGGAAACGACGGAGACTTTGGGAGCACTCGACGACCCTGAGTCTGGAAGCTGAGGGTCGAGTTCGATGATCTCCGCCGCTGTCTCCCTCTCTCCTTCTTACTCTCTTCATTTATCATTGTTGTTCTCAGGACCGCTCAGGTTCGCAGTTCCCTCTGACCTCGAGGAAGCAGACTCCTAGAAAAACGGCCGGTGTCCTGCTCCGCGGACTCCACGATTGCGTCGATTGCTTGAGCCACCCACGAGCCACGAGCTATTACGCATGAGTTCAATCCATGAATAGGATCCTCGTCTCGAATCTGAACAGTCTCCGAGGATGTTGCGCCTCGCTCGATACAGAGGATTCCACCCGATTTGAGGGCGCGTCGAAGTCTGCTCGCTCAGCCGTCTCGGCCAAGTATGGCTGATTCTGCGGCTCTGAGCGTCAAAATATCTCCTGGAATATTCTCGTACATCCTCGGAGGATCGGGATTCGATCGGATCATACACGTTCCCGTTTCGCGACGATATATTCGATTGTCGATGGAGATATGTATGTACACCTGGCTAGATCGGAGCCAGCAGGGCGTAGATTCTTATGACAGGCCGAACATCTCCAGATTCATGTCGGGGACATCCTTTCTCGCTCATCTCACCCCAGATGGCTCCTCGGGGCTTATATCCGACGAACCTCATCTCCCTCACTGGATCTCGCCTCACCGCAAGAGGAGGGGAGGAGAAGATCCCTAGAGGCAACGGTCCCAGGTCACGCCCTCTCGTTCTGCGAGAGCAACCTGGAAGATTCGGAGCGGTATTCCGAAATGGTTTTATCTCCCAAGCGATTGGTCGGCACGAGTGAATTAGATGTCGTCATTCCAACAAAACGCAGGTCTCAGATTAGATTCTGAGAAAACTCAGCATGCAATCAGGAGAGGTTGTTCGCAAGTCGACGGCTAATTAGAATCCTTGCGAAATCACAACCGTGGTCTTGTCCGCCCACGGTTCGGAAGAGCATCTGAGCGGGTGAGTGAGCGGGCGGTCGGTCGGGCAGACAGGAGGACCCGCTCCCGTTTTACCGAATCCGAGACGTGCGGGGAGTGCCAATTTTCCCAGCTATGACTGCGCGATCTCCGGGGTATCTGCTCCCCGTCATTCGAACAACTTGACTTCTCAGCAAGTCAACGTCCGAGTTGGCTGCACACATATCCCCTTCAAGGACACTCAAGATGGTGGAGATTCGGAGCTCAGTCGTAGTGAGCGGATATCCTCGCTGTAAGTGTTCGGTTCGAAACCGAACTTGATTTAAGGGAACTTTATCATGTTTGGAGGGGAACTTACCAATGGCCCAGAGAGGCAATCGTCCGCCCAAGAGTTGGTGATGTTCGCTCATGCCGCTTCTCGCGACTCATCCCCTAGAGGATTCGACGGAAGTCGGCCCACGCCGCATGGAACTAATCAGAGTCGTCCGACCTTCGACCTTCTGAGATCGTTGTTCAGGGCTCATGCTCGCGGCAAGGGTAGGAAACTCGATTCGCAGTCTCAGATCGTTGCCATGGTCGAATGCTACAGCAAGAGAATCGATACGGAAGCGGCTAGCTTCAAAGGAAGAGCGCGTGGTTCCGTTGACGCACACCACCAACTCGTCAGCTCATCCCGCGACACGCTAGTCCTATCGACCACTTGACAGGGACGATGAGTTTCAAAACTCCCTCGGAATATCAATTATCAATCAACCACCGGAACCTCGACTGTCCACCAGGGGAGGAGCCTCCGGGTAGGCTCCCGTGCTAGGCGAGGCAGTCGGTTTCGACTGCTCCTCGAGGCTCCCCCCAGAGGGCGAATGGTTCTCAATGAATTCTGGAAAGCGCCGAAGCGGAGTGTTCATGCAGAATGCTCCATGTCGTGCTCCGGGTGAATGCAGGAGGTCGATCGTCTAGACTCTAGAGTGCCGAGGAGAGAGTGCTCTGTCGTTGACAACGCCTTGTTTACCGCGCTCGTTCGTCGAGGTCAGTCAAGCAGACAGTTGTTCACTGACTTTTTGTCAAAGCTCCGGTGTTGCTTATATGTCGCAACACGCAGAGGTATATTCATGCGTAAGGTTTCACCGTGATCGTCTGGCTTAGGCAGCGACAAAGTTTTTTGGCTTCAGCGGAAGCCTCCTCCGCGGCCTTGCGGAGAGGGAGGAAAAACTTACCAGCTCGCTCTCAACCTGTCTCTGACCACAGTCGATTTCATCCCTGTCAGGCGCCCCCACTAGCGTTGAAAATTGGGAGAGGCGGCCGCCATTAGCCTTCCATTGTCTCATCATAAGTCAGCGAAAGCTATCCTCAAACTCTGGTCCCAGTCTCTTGAGCTCATCTTTCCCGCCAGACGCATATCTGCGGACCTGAATAAGAACGTTCGTTCCCGGAAGGTATGGACGCGGCTCAGGAGCACGTCATCCGTTGGAAAGAAGGTCGGAGACAGTAGTTTCCGTGGAAATCTTGCATAGATGGCCGTATGAGACTGCTGATGAACACACGTCAGTTATAAGAAAAGATATCGGATGTCGGACGCCATGTCCTGAGAATCGGATGTATCCGTCCCGAAGCGTCGCGCGGCGGCCAGCACTGAACGCGCAGCTGAGGAACGCTCGATATCGGGGCTCTTTTCCGCATTTTCCCTCCCAGGCTCATGACTACGCTTCCGTCCAAGTCCCCGTGTGGCTCGAATCCGTCTGCTCTCTTCATGCAAATTCGTTCCCGATGGAGCTCGTCGACTTTCCAAACGTCGCTGGGAGACTTTCACGCTCGAGCGCGGCCGAGGAGAACGGCTGTGTATCGGTCCGGAACTAAACATTGGCTTGTGGGTCAGAGCAAGTTCCTGGATTCAGTCGATCGCGTCGTATGATGGCCTTCGAAGAGAGGAAAGCGGCGCTCCAGACTCCGGGTCGTGATTGACTTCTTTTTCATCCGGGCGTTCCATGCTTAGAAAACGCCTTCTGACGCTGGGATCGGAGTTCAGCGCACGAGCTCCGTGGGGAGCCGAGCAGTTTCGACATCCAATGCCGTCACAGCCAACTCATGGGCGAGAGATTGCGGCGCGAGGATCGGAGTGAAGGCGGTGAATGTGCGTCTTTACGAAGGATATTCTGTACTATGAACTTCGTTCATGATGACGATACCCTTGTACTGGATTCATAGTAGAACGACATATCCGTACGGAAGCGATACGAAAGAGACAGGGACTACGAGGGAGAAATATGCCAGGGGAATAGGAGTCCGGGAAGTGGGACGTGGCTAAGTCTGGGGCGGACCATTACCAGAAGAGGATGCCACCTCCCAGGAGAGGCTTCCTAGCGAGACATCTAGACCATAAGAAGCTACACTGAGCAACGAAATGGACATACAACGTTGATGGAAGTTCTCCCAGCCAGTCCTTTCGCTTTGTCTCGTAACTCATTCGAGGCTCCCTCGGTCGCTCGGGCGCTCGCTGGCGAGCGCACAGACACCGAGTTCCATTTCTCGTACGTCGCGTCGTCCCCCTTTCTCCTGCAAGGAGGAGGCTGTGCGGAATGACGACGACTGAGGGGGTCTCTTGCAAAATACCCCACGGATGTAGGTATTGGACGGCTAGGGTGAGTTTACTCTTTCGTTATCACTCGGACCCTCCGAGATGGCGGTGACCTACTACCCGGTACCTTCTACCTACGTGGTACACGGTTTGTATTCCTCTCAGAATCAGTTCTTGGCTCTGTAACATCTACGTATGAATATGTCCCCGCGCCGGCTGCAGTATCCCTTGAGTCACAACCGTGAGTCGTACAGCCTCATCGTCGGGGTCTCAGACTCAGGGGGGCTACTCGAGTCGGCCCCGAAACTCTGAGCGGAAGCCCGTTCAAAATTCACGACCATTCCCTTCGGGAACGTATTCGTACTGTCTCTCTTCCGACTTACGAGATTGGGGCAGTGCGCCTTCGGATCATTGAGGAAGCTCTGTGTGTTCCATAAAGATAACTGAGCTTGCGCGTTCTCGCTCGAACGCGAGAGGCTCCATTAATATTCTATACAGGGTCAGGGATTTTTGTATCGCAGACCGATGCGGGGTTTACCCGGATCCTCCCTTGTGTCCGAGCCTTGAACATACAGCCCGAGCTAATCATTATCAGAGATGTAATTTCGCTTACATATTCTGAGAGCGTGTCCCGGCGACGTTCTCTGTCTGGAAAATTTCAATTCCGAATGGATAATCAGGATTGGCTTCAGGCTGCATATCGCGCAGCGCGGCGGACGCGGAAAGGAGAGGAAAAAAGCTCCGAGACGATGGATAATTCGGCCAGCGAAACCTTTAACCTACTTTCAACCAAATTTCCAGGAGGCCATCTTCGCTGCCTATGCAGCTGGGGCCCGTCATTTTGGTGAAAATTATATCCAAGAGCTCGTTCAGAAAGCCTCCGATGAGAAAGTCCTGGAAACCTGTCCTGAGATCAAGTGGCATTTCATCGGTGAGCCTCTCAACGCGGATCTCGCGGTTCAAACATTGACCCGAGCTAATGATGGATAGTGATCTGCTCCCTCAAGGGAAGACACGGAATTAGACAGAGCCCCGCTCTTCTTCTTAACGCTCACCGCTCCCAGGTCGGCTCCAGAGCAACAAAGTGAAGGCTCTGCTCAAAGCTCCGAGGCTTTGGGCCGTCGAGACCGTAACCTCGTCCAAGCTAGCTGACATGCTTCACACAGCCTGGAACTCTATGCAGCCACAACCAACTTCGAAACTGAGTGTTATGGTACAGGTAGGTGATTCCTTCCAAGGCATCCCTCCATTCTCCGTTCAAGACCCGAGCGAATTCGTCGGCAGTATAGGGCATATATACTTCTAGATTCCAGCCGAACGAGAATCCGTTAGAGAGGATCGTTTTGGAACAGATTCCGACTCGAGGCAACAGGGAAATGATGTATTTTCTCATCCAGGTGAACACTTCCGGTGAAGAACAGAAAGGTGGAGTTGAACCAAGCGAGGCCGCGAATCTTGTCAGACATATCATGGAAGAATGTCCGTCATTGTCGTTCCTCGGTCTCATGACGATAGGCTTCGCTGAAGTCCAGAACGGGAGCGGGGTATGTACTCACACAGCCTTCTCCTGCATCGAATCGAGAATAATCAATGATCAAGAATTGTAGTCTGCGGCCATTATATATCTATGAATGGTGATCTCGGTCTCCCCAGGAGAATTCAGACTTCACGAAATTGGTCTCGCTTCGGGAAGACGTCGCGAAGAGTTTGGAAATGGACCCATCGACCATCGAGCTCTCCATGGGCATGAGCGCCGACTTCGAACAAGCCATCTCCCGAGGTTCAACGAACGTTCGGGTCGGGAGCACCATTTTCGGAAGTCGGGACTACAGCACGAAGCAGTGAGGTCGAGCCCGATCCTCCGGAGATCGAGTTAACCATGCACCATCCTCTTCATAATATTGTACGTCGGTAATCGCAAGCGGTTCAGCAGAACTCCTCTTCGAGAGCGCGAGCGTATTCGTGACATACTGGGAAACGTTTAGAACGATCAGAGCAACGAAATAAATCCCGATAAGGTCAGCTAGGTCGCAGGATTCCGAATCAGTACGGGGCTCCTCCCCACCAGCGTGGGTGGGGGGACCTTCTCGTCGTATTCGACTCGACTGCCCTTTTTTTCCCTTTATGAGTGCCGATTCGGATCCATGCCGACAATCCTGGTTCGGATACCTACTTCGAGAAGACGAGAATCTTCGCGGAGGATTGTGGTCGACAATAAATGAGTTTCTCCGAGCGTGACGTTCTTCTTCTTGTGTGAAAGTCCAAGGATGAGCAGGCTCCCGAAAATACGCCCTAGGTAGAGAATAAGCCTCCTGGCGGCTGCGGTGACCATACAGAGAATGGCTAGTTTTATCCTCCTCCTGACATCAATTTAAATACCGCAGACACCGGCGTATATCTATTCATATGTGTACCCCCAGCATAGGCTTTGAGAGGGCAAGCCATCATTTCGGAGCTTTGCCGCTGATTATCATCGTTACCCCTAGTTAAGAATTCGTCGCGGCCACACCTTCCAACGACTTACTCTGGAACATACAGATGATATTTTAGTATTTAGAAGTTTCTACAAAGAATCTGACATATCGGGTTTGCGACCACGTCAAGGTCGGCGTAGCACCATCGGGACCACTGGTTGATCGTCGTAATGGCCAGAGCATACGGCTCGTTTGAGGGAGGGAGTACTACGCATTCGTGACAAGAGTCATGAAAGCCAGATCATCCGTCATGAAAGTGAATTCGCGTAGCTAAGTTGGCGTCCTCAAGGGCTGGCAGGTCTCACAGTTTTTTTCTGTTAATGAGAGAGGGCTAGATTGACTCTAAGGTACTGGGAGCCGAATCTGGCGACCATCACCAACATCTTCATCGCGAATGAAGCAGACCGGGGCTAAAGCTTCGATAGCCCCTCGGGGATACGCCATCGCTCGCGGGAAGCAGATACCGGCCATGATTCCTATTGTCGTCGGATAGAATCATCGAAGTTTCATTGTAAAGCGACCTCGAGGGTCCGAGCTTAAGCCCTTTTCAGGCTCTTCGGTAAGGTTCATTGCGGGACCCCAGCTTGGTATAATTACATCTTCGTGAACGATCTTGGTTGTCACAATAAACGTCCCGAGCTCGTCCGCAACCTTTGCGCAGGTCCGCAGCTTTCTCTGCATTGTGATCCTAATTGGATATGACGCGGAGTCCGTACAGAAGAGGGGTCCTGTTCCTATTAGGCGGGAGGAGTACAAGAACGCCGGACGACAACGCTGCCACTGTGAGCTCGTCTCTCAACGCAGAGTCGCGCGACGAATGTAAACAATACGACCATAAACGTAGCTATCTCAATCTATTTGCACTCGCCTCGCTGGTCGCGAAACTCTATCGCTTCGGACGGAGAGCGACGCTCGTATAAGATCCCTGTTATTCTTGGGGAGCTTTTTCCAGACACCGTTGGGCATAATTTTCCCGCGATATGCTTCGCCGGACAACTCGGACCTCGTCTCGTCGAATCTCATCATATGTATAGCGGCGACGACCCCACTTGAGTCTGGGAGGAGCTTCAAGAAATAAGACACACCTAGAGTTCAGAGGACTTGAGCACTGACCTTACTTTTCGAGAGCCACCGTCATTAGCGATCACTTGACCCGTCCTGGGAATCGGCTCATTTTTGAAGGGGATGGTATGGAGAAGTCACCATCTCCCTCGAATTCTCTCGGGATCACTACAGCCGATTGGACTTGTGAGGGCTCCGTAGTCGCTCCGATTCCGTAGTCGCCGCGGGCTCCCGGTACCAGCAATGAGCCGGACTTCTAGAGGGCGCCGCGTCGCCCATCCTCCCCAAACTCTCGATGCTTGGGCAATTCGAGGTTTGTGTAAGGTTGCGGAGTTTTCTCCAGCGCCTGCTCGTCCAGACTCGATGAACCAGACTCCCGAACAAGATTATCAATTCGGAGTTCATCGATTGCCTCGGCTTACCGAATCATTTTTAGAGCGATGCCTGCTCGACGAGCGTCCTCGCATCGCGGGTCATCAGAGCTTCCTCTGGCAGGAATTCGCCCGGTATCATCAAGCATTATCCAGATTTTCAGAACAATCCGCGGTACCAAGGGATGGAAGTCTCTCTTCTCACAAGGAGCTCGCCAGTTCTACTCAATCTAGCGGAGCTGTTGCGCAAATCGTCGTTTCGCTCGAGGGAGTGCCGACGAGAGCGAGAAACGGGAGACGGCGAACGGAATCTGATTATATTCGGAGAATCGTCGAAGGAAACGATTTCCGATATCGGAGTCTCATTAGCGGAGTCGGAACAAGAGTCTAGCCGGCTTCGAATGTCGTGGGAGTCTCGAGGAGATCGACTTATACAATCGCTTCTCTCAATCGGGAAGGAATTCCTCGCTGTCCCCATCTCCATCACTTAAAATTATTACTTGATCACGATACCTTGAAGTGTGCCAGCCGTAGGAGCACTAGATCCAGATTCATGGATATGTCCGGCCCGACTTCGTTTCTACGAATTCAATACCTATGCCGTTCCGCGGGGGGAGGAGTCCAAAGGAAAGGAATATCGTGGCTGCCCCGAGAGCATGAGCTGCGAGCATGACTGCTCCTCCATTCTTCTGAAGACGAGACTATTCTTAGGGAAATTTCGAAAATCGTGCGGGAAAGGGACGCGAATATCTTCCTCGAAAGAGTCTCAGCCCAACAGTCTCAAAAGAGCTCGAGTCGCGATCTCCCGCGGAAATGCGGAGAGCCTTCTCGACGTCAATCGCGATCAGAACTTCTGGTAATAGTCGGGTGCGACACTGCGCGCGGACGCTAGGTGACAGAGAACCTGTCGTCAAGGGACGATGATCAAGTGCCGTAGGATCCACTCCTGTCTGCTCGATCGGATCCCTTCCGAACGTCACAGCGAATTAGACGAAGCGCGATAAAGGAAGCCAATATCGGTTACGGTCGGACGGGAACGGCCAGCTGCAGCGTGAAGCCTGCAGCGTGATACCTCGCTCACATCAACAGCTGTACCGTCGGGGTCAGAAGACGAGGCGGCCAACGTGACGGTTGAATCTTCAGCCACGGTACTCAGCTAGGGGAAGACCGACATCTCATCTACCGTTGATTCTATCACAGTCCTCAAGAGGTCTACCGTCTCTGCAACTCCGCTTTCCATGGATTCGGTAATGTGGGAAAGAACGCATCGGGAGGCGAGTATGGGCGCGTCCGTGATGTCCCCGATGTCCATGTTTAGAAAAACGATTGGAAACGATCGAGGAAAGCTCGGCGTAACAGAGGAGCGCGGTGCTCTCGAGATCCGCGAAATCTCGAGGAAAGCCGGAAGGTCACCCTTCAAACGTTGCGATAGGTGGCAGAAGCAATTAACGCTTCTCTTCTCGACCGTCGGGGAACAGGAGCTTGCAACACTTGCCGAGATTAACCTTGACGTAGAGAAATGGAAGCAACTCGGTACTTCGTGATGAGTTATGCAGGAACAGCCGCGCTGGGAGCCAGCTTGCGACATAGACCGACAGCTTTCCGCGCTACTTAAAAAGAACTCCTGCGCGGAGAATTTCTCCAGCCTCTCGACGAGATTGGCGAGGGGTTTTTCTCTTGGACGGAAGCCCATGTTGAGGGGGAGATCCTATCGACCCCGATCTCTGCTTCGAGACCCACGAGCCATGACGGGTGCAGCTTCATTCGGAGGGTTCGCAGAAGCCTCAGAGGGACGTCCAAATTGAGAGGGAAGAGGAGGATCAATGCTCGTCGGAATCCGTCGAAAGCTCCATTATAACGAATTGAGGAAATTAAAACAATGATATAGGGGTAGTGGTACGCAGAGGTCGCAGATCCTGCGGCGAGGCCCTATACGCGGGACGACAGTCGGATGACCCTCACTGCGCCAAAGAGCATCCAGGAAGAGCTCATCGAGTCCCTGGGGAGAGGTAATGATTCTCGGTGCTCCATCCAAGGAGTGTGCTCGATTCTGGATGATGGTTGTGACCCTGTGATGAAAACTAGCGATATAAGAATCGCTAGAGTCATCCTCATCGCAAGATACTGTCCCTGCAAGAGCATTCTCCTGCTCCCGCCTCGATTCCGTAGGCACAAGGACTAATCAAAGCGCTTTGTCGAAAGCAGTCTGTGTCAGGAGCGAACAACCGAGAGCTAGGCTCGATGAAGCGCCGGGATCGATCCTTGAGGATGCGAAGCCCAATGTGACATTCCTTGCTTATCTGCGGAAGGTGGGTTGGAGCCATAACCAGAATGCTTTTTCATCGCTCTTATCGGGGGAAGGCCGAGGGAGCCATGATTCTGACCATTCCATGCTTCATCACCTCTGGAGGCTCCTGATAGGAGTCGGAAGGGAGTGAATGGCACAATCGTGGACAACGGGGAATCATCCTGCCAGAATACTCCCTCTGGGAATTCTTCACCGATTCCTCTCAACGGGACCATAGATATTAGAGAGATGCTTTCGTCGGGAATCGCAGCGTGTGCAAACCTCTGCTTGCACTGCTCTCGCCGAATGCCCTCCTGGGCCTACCGAGCTCCGGCTGAGAGGGCCCTTCTTGCCCGAGATCATTCTCCGGGTCGGTTTCGCGGTCCCATACAACTTGGTTGCTCAGCTGAGCATTGAATAAGTTCGTAGAAGATAGAACGAGTACGACATATTTCCTCCAATTTCCCACGCACCGACTGAAGGAAGTATTGTCGAGCACGCGTCGAAGTCGATTGACCCGTCCTTCTACCCAAGTGGAATGAAATTTCCT